TGTAGTCGGCGGAGGTGGTGGTATTGTCGGTCGTTGAGCACGTGACAGTCGCCTGATCGGCCGTCGTTGGAGCAGTGGAGGAGGAGGAGGATGGAAGTGATAGTTCAGAAGAAGTGTCAGGGATAGTTGGCGGCGGAGAGGACGAGGAACAGGCTGGCGTTGAGACGATGGTTGATGCGGGTCAATAGGCGCAGTTGATCCGAAGATGTCCAACAAGTCCGATTCGAGCCCGGAATGTCCGTTGACATCGAGGACACGTAGGTAGCGGTTGTGCGTCGGCGTTGCGGACTGCGCGAAGTTGTGATTTGCGGGCTTCGCGTTTTGCTTTGGCGGCAGCGATGCGGTTGGCTTCGTAGATCGCAGCGCCTGTCTTCACTGTCCTCCTCCAGGTCGGTCGATCGAGTGCGAGATCTTCCCAGTTGGTCGGGATGATTTGTAGACGCTTCAGGGAGGACTGCATAGTGTCCTTGTAACGGCGAATTTGGCCTCCTTGGCGGCGAGACCCCGTCGCGAGGTCTCCGTAGAAGAGTCGTTTTGGTAGTCGCTCGTCGTCCATGCGCGCCAGGTGGCCGCTCCAGCGCAGCTGCATTTGTCTCAGCATGGTGGAGATGCTGAGGATTCCCGTCCGTTCCAGCACATCAGTGTCGGGGATTCGATCCTGGCATTTCAGCCTCAGGATGCGACGAAGACAACTGAGGTGGAAGTGGTTCAGACGGCGTGCCAGCTTTGTGTACACCGTCCAAGTCTCCGCTCCATACAGTAGCGTCGGCAGGATGACGGCCTTGTACATCTTCAGCTTCGTGCTCAGTTGGAGACCATGACGATTCCAAACTGTGCTTTGGAGGCGACCGAAGGCTTGACTGGCTTTCGAGATCCTGTTGGCGACTTCGTCATCAATCTTGGTGTTGCGGGAGAGGGTACTGCCCAGGTACGGGAAGTTCACCACTTGCAGTTGGGTTCCGTTCACGCTGATTTGCGGCGGCGCGTTGGGGGCTGTGGCTGTGTTGGGTGGCGGTTGATGCATCACCACAGTCTTCTGCGTGTTGATAACCAGCCCAAAGTTCTCGCAGGCGGCGGAGAATAGGTTCATGCTACGTTGCATTTCCTCTTCCGAGGTGGTGTTCAGGGCGCAGTCGTCGGCGAACAGGAGTTCGTGAACAATGGTGGTGGATACGCGCGATTGGAAGTGCATCCGCCGTTGATTTCAGGAGATGACCGTCCGTCCTGTAGGCCATGCGGATCCCGGGGCGTTCGTCGCGGTAGGCGTCCATCAACATGGCAGAGAACATAAGACTGAAGAGGGTTGATGCCAGCACGCATCCCTGCTTCACTCCGTTGGTCACTGCGAATGCCTCTGAGACAGCTCCGTTGTCCGTGACTCGCGCCATCATACCGTCGTGCAGCTGACGCACCATCTGAGTGAATCGCTCCGGACAGCCGAATTTCTGCATGATCTTCCACAGTCCTTCACGATTCACCGTGTCGAAGGCTTTCGTCAGGTCCACGAAGGTAGAGTACAGGTGGGTCCGCATCTCCTGACACTTCTCCTGAAGTTGACGGGCGGCGAAGATCATATCCGTGGTCCCACGATGACGACGGAAGCCGCATTGGCTTTCCGGCAGAAGGCCCTGTTCCAGATGGTTGTTGAGGCGGTTGAGCAGGATGCGAGCGAAGATCTTCCCGGCGATGTTCAGTAGGGAGATGCCGCGGTGATTGTCGCAGACTTGGCGATTCCCTTTTCGCTTGTATAGGTGCACGATTGTTGCGTACTTGAAATCTTGCGGGACTTCACCTTGACGCCACATCTCCTGGAAGAGCGCAGTCAGGTGATCCATCAGTAGGGGATCTCCGTGCTTGTAGACCTCAGCAGGGATTGCGTCCGATCCGGGTGCTTTCCCGCTGGAGAGCTGCTGCACGGCCCTGATCGTTTCCTGGAGAGATGGCGGGAGGTCGAGGTCCGCGTTGGTCTACACTTGCGTCAAACGCTCGATGGCGGCGTCGTAGATGACGGAAGGGCGGTTGAGGACGCCTCGGAAATGCTCGGCCCATCGTTGTAGGATTTGCGTCTTCTCAGTCCGGAGAGTGTTGCCGTCGGCGTTGAGGAGAGGAGCAGTGCCCTTCGTCGGCGGACCGTAGACAGCTTTGATCGCAGAGAAGAAGTTCTTCCATTCGTTACGGTCCGCGTACCCTTGGATCTCCTCGGCCTTGCGGGCAGTCCAGGCGTCCTGCATCTCGCGCAGTCGTTGCTGAAGTTGGCGGCGACTGCGGTAGAAAGCAGCTTTGTTGTCCTTATTCGGGTGATCAGAGTAGGCTTTGTGTAGGCGGTTCTTCTCAGCAAGCAGATTTCTGATGGTGGCGACGTTGTCGTCGAACCAGTCCTGGTGTTGGCGGGGAGCGCGACCGAGGACGGCGGCCGCCGTCGACTGGACCGTGTCTCGCAGTTGACACCAGTGGTTCTCCACGGAGGCGTTCTCGGCAGCGGCGGCATCGGCGATGGGGAGGTTGTCTAGCCGTTGAGCTAGCTCATTGCTGAAATGAAGATGATGGGCGGGCAAAGACAACAAGACAACATTCAGCTTACCTGGGGGTCGCTTACCTTGTGATCTCCTGCGAGGCTGTAGGCGAATACGCATCTTCGATATGACGAGGCGATGGTCGGTCCACCCGTCAGCACCCGCGATCGCCTTCGTCACCAGCACGTCCCGCTGGTCACGCCTTCGGACGAGGACATAGTCCAGCAGGTGCCACTGACGCGACCGAGGATGCCTCCAGGTGGCCTTCTCTCGCTCCAGCAGAAAGAAGAACATGTTCGTCAGAATGAGGCGGTGTTCTGCGTAGGTGCGGAGCAGCAGCAAACCATTGTCGTTTGAGCCGCGGAGACCGTGGGGACCCAACACTCCTCTCCAGGCAGTATGGTCTGTGCCGACGCGGGCGTTGAAGTCGCCAAGGACAATCAACTTGTCCGCCTTCGACTAAGTCGCCAGGAGTGCGTGCAGGTCCTCGTAGAATTTGTCCCTTGCGGCGGCGTCGGGGCTGCTCATCGGCGGAGCGTAGGCGCTGATGATGGTGGCGAATTTGCCCCCACCCCGGAGGGGCAGGCGGAGGCTCATCAGGCGATCGTTGATTCCCTGCGGCAAGCAGGGCAGTCGTCCCACGATGTCGGTCCGGATGGCGAAGGCGACGCCCGCGTCTCGTCGCTCTGCCCTGGGTCGACCACTCCAGAAGAAGGTGTAACCGGCACCCACATCCTCCAGTTGGCCTTGTTCGGAGAATCGGGTCTCGCTGAGTGCGGCGATGTCCACCTTGTAGCGCGCCAGTTCTCGTGTCACTAGCGCCGTCCTCCGTTCCGGTCGGTTGCTCCTCGGATTGTCTAAAAGGGAACGAACATTCCAGGCTGCCAGACTGAGCGGGCTCACCCTGTCAGTCTGGGGAAAACGAGTGGGGCCACGGCAAGGAGATGAAGAAGAAGGTGACGAAGGAGAAGAATAGGCAGAGGAAGATTTAGAATAGGTAGGATGAGGAGAATGAGTATGGTTGTTGTTGTTGTTGGTATTGTTGTTGTTTCGATTTTGATTATTTCGACCATGATTAGACGTCTGCGGCCCTGGCTAGCCTGAAGACGGCGTGGTACCCAGCAATGTTTAGGCCACCTTTTCTAGGCCCTTCCCCTCGTGGGGGCTGGCAGTGCCATCCCTGAATAGGGCTGCCATTTGCCGTTGTGGCACGGCCGAACTCCACTATGGGGCCAAGACTTCGGGTTGTAGTGGAAAGCGACTCGAATTCGCCGGAAGCCGCGGTCTCCGACGGCGTAGGTGGGCGCGTCAAGACGATGTCGATGTGGAGATCCATCCCGTCACCGGCTGTCCAGCGGCGTGCAGAGACGAAAAACGTCACGACGGTGCCGACGCAAGGTTCCATCCGACCTTCCATCCAGCGGAATCCGCAAACCTGTTCACACGGCACAGCGCACACGGCCCCCTCACCTGGTTTAGCCCGTCGGTCGAGACGGTTGCCCGGGGTGTGGCCGCTGAGCAGAGTCCAGCTACGTGGAGCCACAGGTGAGAGTTGAGTGCCAGCAAGTGGACGCTAGGCGCAGTCTCACCTGCAAGCAAGTGAGCGACCACCACGACCATTACGTGAACCCATCGCTGGACACCCCTACACCACAAACACACACACACACACACACACACACACACACGACAGTTCGACCATCGATTTCGATGATGTCCACCGTGTGCCCCACAGCACGTGGGAGCAGGGACGGTGACTTGCGCAGGGGTTTGTAGTGCGGGTAGGCTTGCGCTGCATCTACCTACACTCTCTCCTCCTCCCCCGCCTGGGCCCGGAGTCAAGACAAAGTCAAGAAGACCGGAGACGAGGGAGGCCGCAGGTGGATGGCTCGGACGGATCCTCACCTAGGCGTTCTACCACACCCCCTGGTCCACACAACAAATAATCAGAAGTTCAACCAACACAACAGAGATTTGGAGGCTGGCACGGCCGAAGTCGCACCTAGGCGTGCCGCCAACGCCTGGCTCGGATCCCACGCTGTGGTGGGAATGCCATAAAGGCCACATGAAAAAGAAGCCATTGCAGCCTGACTCTCAGACCGCCTCCAGTGAAGGAGGAGGTCCAAGTTACCCCGTCAGTTGGCAACCTTCCAAGCCACGGCTTTTAGCGCACCGTGATAGCTTCAAGCGCGTCAGATTGTTTATAGTGAGGAGAAAGTGCGCTGAGTCGTCGACGTCACTCTCCCTTCCCATTCCCACACCCCACCCGCTGTCCGAGCCGGTCAGCAGACTGGAGTGGGAAATGGGCGCGGTGGCTGACACGGTCGACTGACCATGCTTGTGCGCGCCACAGCACGACCTGGCCCCCCATACACACAAACACCCGGATTTCACAAAACGGGGGTTAAGCGGCGTGTCTCTCACTTGCGTGAGAGAGCCGTGGAAGGTGCTGTTTCAGCCCGTCCCCAGCCGACCATTCCGCCACTACACACAACACACAACGCGACGGACCGCGTGAGCCGAGAGCGGGCGTCAATCAGCAAACTTCCTATCCACGACGCTTGACGTGTTGGGATAATCTCCGACTCAAGTCACCCCTGCAGCCGAAGCCGCATGAGGACCGAGTCGAGATGCACACTTCCCACTTGCGTGGAAGGTGGCAGTTGGGTGCATGAGGTGTGGGAGTGTTGATGTGTGGTGGTGGTGGTGGTGGTGGTGGCTGTGGTGGTGGTGATGAAGGAGGGTAGGGGAAGGTAGCTAATGTGTGTGTGTGGCGTAGCCAGCGGTTGTCTACCGCAGGTCATCGTGGATGCGCATGTGGCCGAATAGGCCCATGCGATGCCTGAAAGTGCGAGGACAGTGTCGGCAGTTGAGTCGAGCTTGGTGGGTGTAGGTTGGTGCTCCAGGCACTGGTTCGCTAGTCTCTGTGCGATGGGTTCGCAAGTGACCGACCAGGCCGATGCGTGAGGTGAATGTGCGTGGACAGTGCGGGCATGAGAACTCGGCGGTGTCAGTGTCAGCTACAGAAGAGTCGGTGATGGTGGTGATGGGCGCGCAGGGCGATGTGGCGAGGGTGGGATTGGGCTTGGTGGATGTGCTGGGTTTCGTGGGTGTGTGGGAGAAGCGGTCAATTCCGCTCTCGTGGATGCGTATGTGGCCGAATAGACCCATGCGGTGCGTGAAGGTGCGAGGGCAGTGTGGGCAGTGGGGGCGAGTGTGGTGGGTGAAGGTTGGTGCTCCAGGCGCTGGCTCGCCAGTCTCTGTGCGATGGACTCGCTAGTGACCGACCAGACTGATGTGTGAGGTGAAGGTGCGGTCGCAGTGAGGGCAGGTGTAGTCCTGATCCTCATCGCTGTAGTCGGCGGAGGTGGTGGTATTGTCGGTCGTTGAGCACGTGACAGTCGCCTGATCGGCCGTCGTTGGAGCAGTGGAGGAGGAGGAGGATGGAAGTGATAGTTCAGAAGAAGTGTCAGGGATAGTTGGCGGCGGAGAGGAGGAAGAGGCGGTCGGGTGGAGAATGGCCGGTGGATTTCGGGAGGCGCAGTTGATCCAAAGATGTCCGATAAGTCCAATTCGAGCCCGGAATGTTCGTTGACACCGAGGACACTTAGGTAGCGGTTGTGCGTCGGCGTTGCGGACTGTGCGAATTTGGGATTTACGGGCTTCGCGTTTTGCTTTGGCGGCGGCGATGCGATTGGCTTCGTAGATCGCAGCGCCTGTCTTCACTGTCCTCCTCCAGGTCGGTCGATCGATAGCGAGCTCCTCCCAGTTAGTGGGGTTGATTTGCAGGCGTTTCAGGGAGGACTGCATAGTGTCCTTGTAACGGCGAATCTGGCCTCCTTGACGGCGAGAACCCGTCGCGACGTCTGCTTTTGTGTCAAATTTCTACATATGAATCCGCACAGATGAGTGACTTTCAGTGATATTTGTTGAACGTGGGGAGATAAGTCAAGGGTATTTGTGTAGATCAGACCAATGTCTCTTATTGATTGCGCTTCGTTTATTTCATTATCCTCCAATATTATGGGGGGATGTTTTTGTTGGCCGAAGATCCGGAGATGGTCCTTTGCAGATGAGAATGGATTTGCCATTGACTACTCCATTCACCATGTTTTCTAAGTTCGGTTTGGATTGTTCTGTGAGCTTTGGCTACTGTTTACTCGTTATATGCATATGCGAGCTATAGATCGTCTGCATATAGAAACGTTTTAGCCGAGACTGTTATGGACGATAAGTCGTGAATATAAATGGGAAATAGAAGGGGGCCTAGGATAGTTCCTTGAAGTACTCCACTAGTAATAGGGGATGGTTCTGAGACCCCATTTCGAAAGTATAATTTGAGAAAGTCGAGTAGGGGTGGCCTAATTCCATGAATATTGAGCTTTACCAGCAAACTTTTTTAAGAGACTTCGTCAAAAGCCTTTTTAGGTCGAAGCATATGGCAGCTATTTTGATTTCATCATTCCTATTGCTGGAAACGAGTTCTAGAAAAGTAAGTTTGCAGGACTGACATGACCTCATAGGTAAGAATGCATGCTGAGAGAGGGGAATGAGGTTAGCGTTTATGAGATGATCTAGCAGTTGGTTGCATACTATCTTCTCAAATATTTTAGCTATTGCCGGTGTTCGGTGAACATCACAATGGCTTTGAGTATGAGATCGGTTGCCACTTTTAAATATAGGTGAAATGATTGAGTATTTCCAGACGTCTGCAAAAAGTGCACTTGAATGGCGTAGGGTGAAGAACATAGATAGGAGGATTGGAACATATGCCATATGCTTCAGAATACATGGTGGGATTTTATCCGTCCCGTAGGAACTGACGTTGGATAATTATTTGATAGCTAATAACAGTTTCTTCATTAAAACGAATCTCATTAAGGGTGTGCTTGTTCATCTCGGTCGGTCGAGGGATTGGTTCTTCCTCGACTGTATAGTTATTTGAGAATAACTTGTTAAATAGGTTTGCTATCGGGTTGTCTTTTGTTATAGATTGTCCAGATTCATCAACCATAGTTCTGGGTCCTGACTTTCGGCGATTATTCATTTGTTTTTCAAAAAAATTGAGCTGCTCGTTCGGGGGACTCTAGTGCCCAATGTTCTGCATCTATAGTCCTTTGGGTCGCCTCAACAATGGATACCAATACAAAGAATTCCTTCGTTACCGTTCCAGCGAATCAAATTCCCAGCTCAAAATCAGAATACAAAAACAAGTCAAAGGAACGCCAATCACGCTCAGAAGAGGCTTACAAAAAGGGGAAAAGGGAATTTAAACGAGGGCCAAATGTGGAAGCACTTGAGAAGAAGGCGTGAAGAATTTCAAACTTTGACCAATTGGATGCAGCACGGACATAAACAAAAAGCTCAATTGGAAAAACGCATTTACTAAATAAAGTAACTTTAAATGATAATTACTAGTACAGATCAGTTATGGCTAAAAATGTCATGTTCTTCCAGAGATTTCGATGACTAATGCTCTTCCATAGAAGTTTTTTCTGTGGGGAAAGAGATTCACAGCACTCAACCAGTGGTTTTCCGCGAAATCAACCACATCAACCGGCAGCTTTTCTTCGGGAAATCTCGTAGCCCTTTAAAAGATAGGGCGGATCAATGGCGGGACTGCAGTGTCGTTTCCGAGATCACGAGAACGAAGTATTCTCCACAGTTTATGGCGAAAATGTAGAGGAGGCAAAACATCGCTAATAAACTGAAGTACCTTCTTACGGAGAATGAAAAAAGAGAACAGCGTTTCGAGATCCCGCAGAGTTCAATGATAAAAGAATTCCTATCACAGTATGGGAAGAAATCAGTGTAGTCCTGAGGCCTATCACACCTCAGCTGGCGTTACAAACTGGTTGATCGAACATCGAAAAAGGAGCCAAATTTTTTCTAAGAAATGCAAGCAACTTGGAGTCTTGGTTTAGAAATAATTGTGTCGTCTTCAGAGTCCATAAGTGAGTCTAAAAATGACAACAACTAAGATAGGTAGACTATACCGAGAATAGAATCAAACATATGTGACCCTCGGTCAGGGGAATCAGCAACGAGGTTTCCAATAATGACATCCGTAACTTTCACTAAGGCGTCACACTTTCTGGGATTGGAAGGTGAAATCCAGCGGATTTGATGAAGACTAATTTCCCCAAAAGTAAGTAACACTTAAAAATTGAACAGACTGCGGTATGCAATACCTTCGATAGGTGAAAATCAAAATCATCAGCGGCGTTGGTGAGGTCATATACGCAGGTAAAAAGCAAAGAATAATCTTTTTTATGGTAACTTAAAGCCAACGGCAACCTTCTATCGTAAAAAGACGCGGATGGTCCATGGTGAAAATGTAGGCACTTACTTTACTTAATTGTATGTTCCCCACCACAGTCGTCTTTATGACAATTGTGAGTTACAGCTACGGAACGAAGTTGCAAATATTTCATTGACAATAACAATGTCTGGACGGCGAACTAACACTACTGTCCTAGGTGGAAACGTTTTGACCGGTCGGACCCTGAAATAAGAAACGGAAAATTTGCGAAGGCGAAGTTTATTTTATTCTGGATGGGGCAAACGAGTCACCCTGCTGTTGACTGTTCACTCGAAAGAGAGATTTTTAGTGTAAACGGAAACTAAAACTACAAAAATAATGGGGTTGCTGCGTCTCTTACAAGGAAAATAACGGCAACAAAAATTATAGAAAAAGCGGCAAAAGATAAATAATTGTACAGACTCACTAAAAATGAAGCCCTCTCCAAAATCAGTTGTCGCAGAGGGAATGTTCGGGGTAAAATCCAGAAGATCTCGAGCCAAAGTCAGATACTGAGGCTTGTTTCTCGGGTGAGTTCCCATCTAGTTAGACATGACTGAAAGATACAAACCTTTCGTGCCGATTGACTAAAAGCCATTGAGGCGCATGAGTGCGACCAACGAAACAATGACACCAAAAAGCAGACGGGCATGAAAGACTCCCTTTTTCCCCAGCCGAGACCAGGTTTGTGTATTTTATCAAATTTGGACAACAGTACAGAAAAAATGTACGAAAATGTACGTAAACCTACAGATTGGATGTTTTCGTCTGTTTCCGTGAAATATTTTGTGGTATCAAAACACATAATTTAGGATACTTTCATCGAAATGGGGTCACAGAGAGAGAGAGGTGGTCGGGCTAGGTGGGCTATGGGGTTGGAGGGTAGTTAGTAGAATATTTTGCCAGTTAAGGGAGAGAAATAGTGTTGGAATTTCAAAAAAAGTTTAGTGGATCCGAACCTCAGGTCGGCGTGTCAATTGACGGATCTGAAGGCACACGCAACCGGTGAGATCCAGACAATAAAACCCATAGGGGAAAATGGGGGAATAACGTGGCCCTATGAGAAGGCAGATACACAGCATGCTTAGTTCAACACATCTGCGGAGAGACCCTAACGCTGCATATATGCATCTAAACCAGTCCCTAGTCTCTAAACCTTATAATTACTCCTAACTCTGAAGTGGTTGGTGTAATTTAGAACAAGTTTAACTTTTTTGAAGGAGAAGCATATAATTATTTGCAGGACAGGACGGGCTAAAGCCATCCTCTCGTGAACTTGCACAGGGCAATCAGTAGAGGTGAACTCGAGGTAAGTTCGATTTTGGCACATTTTTAACATCAGTGTGTCTTGGTGAAGTTATGGGCGAAAAGGAGTTTAAACTGTTGCCGCCAGGTTGTATAAAAAACCTTTCTGACAAATTGTTCGAAAAACGCAAGGCCGGTGCCATGGAAGTTGAGCAGTATTGTCAGGTTTATTGTTCTGCCCGTTCTTTTACTAGGATAGTCAAATCACTCCTCACTAAAGAAAAGTTTTTGGACCTAGAGAAGATCTTGGCGTTTTTTGGTCAAGAATTTATCCCTTCATGTAATTGTCACGTACGAAAAGGCGGATTAATCGGTCTCGCATCGGTCGCTATCGGCCTTGGTCGGGTAATATTTTTTAGCACAATAATATTCCGCATGATGTACAGAACGCTGTTAACTATTCCGATATGATAATCACTCCGGTTCTTCAAACTTTTCGGGACAATGATACCAGAGTTCGATATTTTGCCTGCGAAGCCTTGTACAATATTATGAAAGTACTTCAAACAGCGACCCTCCGATACCTCAATGATATTTTTGAGGCGCTTAGTCTGGTGAGTTGCACACTCAGTCTGCCATGTGTATAACTAACCTACAAACTTTTCCGGAACCGGCTGTATTTCTTTATGCACTTGCTTTTGAAAGGGGGGACTGAAATCTTCAGGAGTACTAGTGGCCGGAATCGAAACCCAGCGCCAGTGCATTAGTGCTGAGTTTTGATTCCAGCCGCTTATACTGGTGACCTTCACTTTTCTGCTTAACAGACGCGAGGAAGGTCAATAGTGGGGAAAACAGCAACACAGTGGCGGCGGAAACTACAGTATAAAAGCGGCAGCATCGGTCACAGAGTTTGATAGGTCAAGAAAACCGAGATAAAGTAAGTAAACCCAAACCAAAGAGAATGACATGTTCGAACGCAATGACCGAATATAAAAAAATCCAAGCTGACAAACCACCACGCAGTTCACAAAATGACCAGCACAATGAAAACGTTCCTCTCTTTTACTGTTGCATATACACAAAAAGGGCAAATACGGACGACTTCTCTATTGTTTTTAAATAAGCAGCAATTTCGAGTTTCGCCCAAAGCAAAGATTTGTACGAGACTTCGAATATTCTTGACTACCTCAATGTGTTCCTGCGGAGATCGGCGCTGGTGTAAAACGAACTAAGTACAGAGGCACTCAACAGAAAATTTGTGAGT